ACATGTCGTTTATTTTATTAACAATTAAAATATACAATATATCAATTAGTTTATTTTTAGTTTTTTTATATGTCATAACAGTTAGATTTATTTAAGCTTATTTTCATGTTATTTTATTTATTTAAATAATTAGTTATTTTATTTATTTATTTACTTATTTGTTACGTTTAATTTATGTTATTAACAGTTAAAAAAACAAAACCAAACCACATACTGAAGTACAATAGTCCAAACAATTACAATATTTCAAAGAAAAATATTAATTAATTAAATACAATTATGTACTTTATAATACAATACTTTTAAGTCTTGCATGTATTATATAGTTATTTTAGAAAAATGAAAACATGTAATTTATAACAATATAAACCACACAAACTGTAAATGCAGTATATCCCTTTATTGAAGTTGTGTACATACATGCATGTGTATACTATTATACTTTTAATTAGCTTTTATTTTTATATATTCATTTTATTTTTAGGTTTTAGTCATTAAGTTATGTGATCTTGATTCATTTCATTTTAGTTTGAATAATACTAGAAAGTTTTATTTTAATACGTACATTAATTCAATTAGTTGTACAGGCAACATTTTAAAAATATATTTATTAAAGGTATTAATATGTTATTTTCATGTAATATTTATGTATTTCAGCTTTATTTAAATTAAAAAATACAATTAGGATAGTTTTAGTTTATAAAAAACACTATAAATACAGCATATACAGTATTTGTGTGCTTTTGTCTGCTTATTATTATCATAAGTAATATGTAATTCTATATTACTCATTTAAAACTTGAATTGTGAACTTTGCTTTCAGGTTCAGCCTTCTGAAACCATCCGTCGTGGATCTGAGCTCATTTATAAAGTAAGTGCAATTAAAACATAACAATAGTAATATATTCAGGTACCACTTCAAAATGTTAATTGTCTCTGGATTTGTAAGGTATACCTTTGAATATGTATATATGTTTTATTATATAAAGGTAACAAAAATTTAGTCAATAAAAACATATGGTGTTATTTGTTGTAAAGGTGACACCTTTCTGTTATTTTATGCAAAAAAAATACAGTTGACACCAGAAGTTTACATACACTCTAAAAAAAGGAACATAACCATTTTTTCAAATAGTCTGATGTTAAATCATACTAAATGTTTACTATTTTAGGTCTGTTAGGATTACCTAAATGATTTACATTTGCTAAATCCCAGAATAATGAGAGAATTATTCATTTCTACACAGTCAAAAGTTGACATACATTTCCTTAGTTTTTTAGCTTTGCTTTTAAACTGTTTAACTTTGTTCAAATGTTTTTGGTATCCTTCTACAAGCTTCTCTCAATAGCTTGAAGGAATTTCGGCCCATTCCTCCTGACAGAATTGATGTAACTGAGTCAGATTTGTAGGCTGTCTTGCTCGCACAAGCTTTTCAACTCTGCCCACAAATTTTCTATAGGATTGAGATCAGGGCTTTGTGATGGCCACTCCAAAACATTCACTCTGTTGTCCTTAAAGCACATTTTAACTAATTTGGCAGTATGCTTAGGGTCATGGTCTGTTTGGAAGACCCATTTGTGGGCAAAAATTTAATTTCCTGGCTGATGTCTTGAGATGTTGCTTCAGTATTTCTACATAATGTTCTTTCTTCATGATGCCATCTATGCTGTGAAGTGGAGCAGTCCCTCCTGCAGCAAAACAGCCCCACAGCATGATGCTGCCGCCCCCATACTTCTCAGTTGGGATGGTGTTCCTAGGCTTGTAAACTTTCCCCTTTGTCCTCCAAATATTAAACAGTGGTCATTATGGCCAAACAGTTCAATCTTAGTTCCATCAGAGCACAGGACATGTGTCCGAAAATTAGTCTTTTCCCCAGTGTAATTAGGCAAATAGTAATCTGGCTTTTTTGTTGATTCTGGCTTGTTGATTTTCCCATGTTGTCACACAGGGAAGCAGTGTGTTTGAGGTTTTCCTTAAATACTATTCTACAGCTGTGCCTCCAATTCACTCAAATGGTGTCAATCAGCCAATCAGAAACTTCCAAAACCTTGACATCATCATCTGAGCTTTTAAAGAGGCAGAATAATCTTATTGGATGTAAACTCTCTCATTATTCTGCTATTAAGCAGAACAGAAACTAATGTGCTAATCCTAACTCACCTAAAAGAGAAAACACATTGTCACACATCAACATCTGACTTTTTTAATGGTTATGTGCCTTTTTATACAGTGTATATAAACTTCTGATTTCAACTGTAAATGCACTGAATGACAAAATAAAAAAACAGATTGCTGTTAAATGTCTAGTTAAAGTAATTGCAAATTCAAATAGCTTCATATAAAGCAAAAATAAAAGGAACATACAATACAATAAGCATAAGAAATAAAAAAACAAAGAATCATTATAATGTGATTGGCTGACAGTATCATGGTTTGGTGTCGATGGCGGTGGAGGAGGATGAATCGGCCTCCAGGACTGACAGACAGGCAGAGGTTCAGGTCAACAGCAGGGGGCAGCAGCAGCGTCTTCTTACTGTCCAGACTAAACCACAGCAAACCTCCAGGCACACCAGCAGCAGACTCCTGCAGCGCACACACACTCAGGTGAGAAACGCTACGTCCAAAATCACACAATTGCCTACTGTATAGTATGTTGTCATTCTTAGTGTGCTTGTGATAGCATTTAAATACACTGATAAAACGATTTATTAGATTTACTACATCTTTCTTTAAGGTAAGTGGTTGCAAACTATTTTTATGGGATAAATTTAAGCAAACTAATTGTAGTAATGTTCGACTTGTTTGTTTTGCAGCCCCTATCAATTGTTTGCAACCACTTACCTTTAAGAAAGATGTAGTAAATCCAATGAATCATTCTTTCAGTGTACTGCTGCTCTCTGATGATTTGAAATGCTTCTTTTATTTAAGTCGCTTTGAATAAACGTGCCTGATAAAACGAATAAATGTAAGGCCCAATACCAATTCTACCTCTTAGCCCTTTCCCTTACCTCACCCCTCGTTTTGCCATGGGGTAGGGGTGTCCCAATTCTCTTTAGCTTGAAGGTGTAGGGCTAAGGGGAAGGGGTGAATAGCCCTTCGAACGAAGATTTTTCAGGACCACACTCGAAACCAAGGGGTAAGAAAATTTCCCAGAATACACCTGCCACAACGGTAGTATTGCAGAACCCGGAAGTAAGGAGATCCTCAAATTAGTATTTTGTTGTCATTATTACATATTTTTGCAACAAACAAACACATGTTTTAATATATTCATAACCACGCAAAAATAAAAAACGCTAAATTTTGTGATCTGTAATCCCTAGTAATAACTCCTGTATAGCAGTCCCACAACATTCTGTCTCTCGATTACACTCGAATACCCTGTCAGAAAGGTCTAGTGTCTGGGAATGAGCCTTTTACAGTGTCTGCTATAATGTTAGTGTTTATTTTTAGTGTGTTTATGTAACCCCGCTGGTTCTATGCCACCCAACCCACTCCGAGCTGGTTTCGAGCCGGCAACCTTCCGCATGGGAGTCGGTTGCTCTAACAGGGAGGCTAAAGAACATTGCCTCTTGCATCTGTCACTAGAGCACCTGTTAGAGGTCAGAGGAGTGAGATTTACCTGCACAGCACCTACTAGCTGGCCTACGTTACACTCACCCCCCTAAACCTCACTCCCATCCGGGTCACGGCACCAATGTAATCCGACCGGTACTACACCACCCAACCAGCTCCGAGCTGGTTTCGAACCGGCGACCTTCCGCATGGGAGTCGGTTGCTCTAACAAGGAGGCTAAAGACCATGACCTCTAGCGTTTGTCGCTAGAGTAGAAGATACCTGCAGAGCACCTACTAGCTTGCCTCTGTTACACTTACATTAATGAATATGACCACTGTTTAAATGCACAGTACAGTTATGATCTTTTTGCCACGTTAGATCGTTATGATAAGATAATATATGTCTTCAGTGATTTCCTGAAGACAAATGCCAAAAAATAACAACTGGAGTACCTACAGCAGTCGCGATGGTCTGATATCATGTGAAGCAAGAGCTCGCGATGACATCTGATGAAGTGTGCAGGTGCTGTAGTGCTGTCGCAATTCTTAGGGGTAAATTTTTAAGCCCTTCCTTTTCACACTTGGTGTTAAGGGGCAAGGGCAAGGGGTACAAAAATGGAGTTGGGATTGGGCCTAAATTAACTTGCATTCCAATTCACAGCATTGAAGAAAAGCTGTGGGCTAAAACAGAGCCATTGTGTCAGTGTGTAGGGTTTGCACGTGCATTTATGGACCAGAGCTGATTGAAGGCGGACTTTGAGAGGACATATTTTTAATATGTGGCCACAATAATTAAATAGAATATTATATAATATATTTATTTTATTATATTTTTTTACAGTCAAACATTTATCTAACAAGTGTGTACAACCAAGTAATACAGTTCAAGGAAAAGGACACATTTAACCCTGATAAACTCATGAAACTAATGAAGTCAATGAAGTTTAGCGATTGACAAACTTTTCTGGTGTGATTTCATTCATTCATTTTCTTTTCGGCTTAGTCCCTTTATTAATCAGGAATCGCCACAGCGGAATGAACCGCCAACTTATCCAGCAAATGTTTTACACATACATATTCACACACATACACTTGGGACAATTTAGTTTTTCCCAATTCACATATAGCGCATGTCTTTGGACTTGTGGGGGAATCCGGAGCACCCACGCCAACAGGGGGAGAACATGCAAACTCCACACAGAAATGCCAACTGACCCAGCTTAGGCTCGAACCAGCAACCTTCTTGCTGCAAGGCGATTGTGCTATCAACTCCGCCACCGTGACGCCCCGGTTTGATTTAATAATAAAAAAAATCTGAATTTGTCTTCTGCGGACAATGTTTTTATTGATTCAGAGCGACTTGAGAGTGAATAAATGACCAGGATTTTCAATTTTGAGATGCATTAAAAAGAGTTAAAGGGATAGTTCACTCACCGTTTATTTCAATCAAATCTGTTGAACACAGGAGAGAATATTTTAGCTTGTTTTTATATTTATATTATGTATGCAGTGTGCAAATGAGTGTAAAAAATGTTACAAAAAAACGTCAACACGTCACCATTTTCCTCAGAAAACATATTTCCAAAGGTGCCATTGACCTGAAATTTTCACCAGATGTTTAAACCAAAGAAGTCCATATTTGCAAAGAAAACAAAAGTAATTAGTTAACAAATGAAGTTCTGTGTAATTAAAATGACACAAGGAAAAGGTATTGAACACATGTAGGAAGGGAGGTGTGGAAAGACATGGAACGCCCAGACAGCAACTGAAATCTCTGCTCTTCCTCATTGTGAATTAATATCAGCTGCTTCGATCCAACACCCAAATTATGTTATTTCAAATGGCTAAAATGTCAATAAAAGTCACTTTGGTAAACTGCAGAATTGAATTTTCAATATCAGAAGTCGACACAACAGAGATCAACATCCCATAATGCAATTCACAACCGTAAATAAACAGAAAACAGTTGTGAATCACAAAATACTGAAACTATTCATTAACAGATATTTTTGTACAGTGTAGTAAATTATTTATTAATTATTGTAATTAAAATAATATTTTTTATACCATTTTGTGTATTTCGCTGCTAGGGAACTAAACTGAATAACTTAAGTGTGTAATCTCCTGTGAGTAATGCTGTGTTTGTGGCTGGTTTCTCTCTCAGACGTCCTCCAAGCGCTGTTCTCCAGATCTCTCAGGTCTCCTGCATTATAACCAGAGCTCTGGTCGGCTGTTTCGCTGTAATGGAGACTCATGGAGGCCCTGGACCCCCACTAATGAGGTCATTCACAGATCCTGTGTTTAATAATAGAGGAATCACTGAACCTTCAGTTTCTGCTCTTCATCAAACGTTTTCCTCTGTTTTTAGACTGTGAAAGCGCAGAGATGTCCTCAGGGATGGACGTACCACAGTAATAACTGTTATTTACTGAGCTCAGAGCGTAAAGCCTCATGGAGTACTGCAGCGCGGGCCTGCAGAGAGAGGTACCAGAACTTTCATTCATCACAACTTTTGAAGTCATCTGTTAAAAAACTAAACTAAACTAAAAAGTGATTAAACCTTCAAATATGTGAGCAAAAAGACACCCAGTAGGATATTTCCTAACAATTTAGGAGCTCATTTTAGGACCAAAACAATCTAAATTAAAATGACACTTTTTTGTTTATTTTCTTCCTTCACAGAATAGTTTGTAGTTTTTTTTTTGTTTGTTTTTGGATTGAACATAAAATATTTTTTTTTTTTTTTATGACAAAACTTTCCACAGTGTAACAAAATTTAAAGAGCAACAACACACACGCATATGCGCACACACACGCACACACACGCTCCTATATAATGAAGTAATTAAAAAACAAATTAATGGAGTATACACAATTTTGTCTCCTAAAGTTTTGTCAATATACAGTTTGTAAAATTAATAAGCATTTTTATTCCAGAAAACTGTCCAGAAAGTTGATTTCTGTCTTCTGAAAATCTTCTATTAATTCAAGTTGCATAAACAGTTAAAATGGTCAAAATGCTTTGCCCTGCTGTGAAATTTCTATTCTTTTTCACATCTTTCCCAAGTGAAAAAAGTTGAACAGAGCACATATATTTTCAACAGTATTTCCTATAATATTTTTTCTTCTAAAGAAAATCTTATTTCATTTATTTGGGCTAGAATAAATGCAGTTTTTACATAAAAATATTATTAGCTCCATTAAGAAAATTTTTTTTCGATTGCCTTTAAATTGCACATTGAGCTTAATATCTTCCAGTAAACATGTAAATGTACATGTACTTATAAATAAAGAACTTTATATAATAAAAACTTTATTCCAGCCCGTGTTTAACCAACACTTTTTTCTGCAGGTTCAGTGGTCATCTGGTCAGTGTTCAGTCTAAAGCACACATGGCCTGGCTGTGGGACTTCAGTCAGAGGAAACCCTTTTGGATCGGTAACTTCTCTACACTAGTGCTGTCAAACCATTAATCAAGATTATTCACAATTAAAGTAATTTGTGTATATTTATTATGTGTCTACAGTATAAATACACAAACATACACTACAAAAAATACTAAAGTTAACAAAACTATTCACATATTTGAAGATAAATTGATTAGCCTTGCAGTGAAATTTTCATTAATTTTCAAATAATAATAATAATAAATACATTCAGAATGTAATTTAATTCAGAATTAAAAAGCAGAGAAATATATAAAAAAATATTGTTAAAAATAATAATTAATAAATAAACAATAATTAATAATATTTCCTAATATATGTAAAAAATAATGTAAAAAAATAAATATATATTATAACACTTTATATTTAGAAAAATATTTAGAAAAAAATACATTTCACAGGAAAAACGTTGAAGTTAAGCTAATAACTTTTCTTTGCATTAATATATTATATTATATTATATCAGCATCTACACTCACTGGCCACTTTATTAGGTACACCTCACTAGTACACTGTTGGATCCTGCTTTGCTTTAAGAGCTGCCTTAATCCTTCATGGCAAAGATTCATCAAGGTACTGGAAATAATCCTCAGAGATTTTGCTCCACATTAACATGATAACATCACACAGCTGCTGCAGATTTGTCGGCTGCACATCCATGATGCCAATCTCTCGTTCCACCACATCCCAAAGGTGCTCAATTGGATTGAGATCTGGTGACTGTGGAGACCATTTGAGTACAGTGAACTCATTGTCATGTTAAAGAAACCAGTCTGAGATGATTCGTGCTTTATGACATGGTGCGTTATCCTGCTGGAAGTAGCCATCAGAAGATGGAGACACTGTGGTCATAAAGGGATGGACATGGTCAGCAACAATACTCAGGTAGGCTGTGGTGTTGACATGATGATCATTTGGTACTAATGAGCACAAAGTGTGCCAAGAAAATCTCCCCCACACCATTAAACCACCACCACCAGCCTGAACTATTGATACAAGGCAGGATGGATTCATGCTTTCATGTTACTGAGGCCAAATTCTGACCCGACCATCCAAATGTGGCAGCAGAAATGTAGATTTATCAGAGCAGGCAACGTTTCTCCAATCTTCTATTGTCTAGTTTTGGTGTCCTTGTGTGAATTGTAGCCTCAGTTTCCTGTTCTTAGCTGACAGGAGTGGCACCCGGTGTGATTTTCTGCTGCTGTAGCCCATCTGCCTCAAGGTTGGATGTGTTGTGCGTTCAGAGATGCTCTTCTGCAGACCTCAGTTGTAGCGAGTGCTTATTTGAGTTACTGTTGCCTTTCTCTCAGCTGGAACCAGTCTGGCCATTCTCCTCTGACCTCTGGCATCAACAAGGCATTTGCGCCCACAGAACTGCCGCTCACTGGATATTATCTCTTTTTAGGAACATTCTCTGTAAACCCTAGAGATAGTTTTGCATGAAAATTCCAGTAGATCAGCAGTTTCTGAAATACTCAGACCAGCCCGTCTGGCACCAACAACCGTGTCAAGTCACTTAAATCCCCTTTCTTGTGTGTGTGTGTGCTGAACTGCAGGTCTGCATGATGGAGAAAGCAGAGGCCGATGGGAGTGGATGGACGGACAATCGGTCACGTACACCAACTGGAGACGAAACCCGCCAAAAAACCAGAAGAAGAAGGAGACGAGGAGGTGCGTCCTGGTGTGGAAGAAGAGTCGATGGCAGATCCGAGACTGTCAGAGAGGAAAAGGACACCGCTATGTGTGTTACACTCAACTCCACTGACCACAACAACACTGGGATGCCTACTACTTAGTGTGCGTCTGTTAGTCATCAAGTGACAATGCTGCAGCTGCTTTAAAACACTGCTTCCAAAACTTTACCAATCGTTTGTTTCAGGTCAGTGGTTCAGACTTGAAGTGTGTATCAAATAAAGTCATGTGATTTAAGCAATGGAGGCTTCATTACGCCAGTGTTTCCCAACCCTGTTCCTGGAGGCACACCAACAGTACATGTTTTGGATGTCTCCTTTTTCTGACCCATTCACTTCAGGTTTTGGAGTCTGTTCTGATGAGTTGATTCAGGTGTGTTTAATTAGGGAGAGTTTTCAAACGTGTACTGTTGCTGTGCCTTCGGGAACAATGCTGGGAAACACTTCATTACGTCATTAATGCTTCAAAACATTTCAAAAATTCATTGTAAGCCGTGTTGGGGAAAGTTACTTTTGAAAGTTACATTACAATATTGAGTTACATCCCCAAAAAGGTAAATAGTTGAGTTCCTTAGTAACTGTTTATTGTAAGTAATGTGCTATGCTACTTTTGAGTTAGTTTTTCTTGGCTGAGGCTTGATCTCTTTCAGGGCTTTTTTTGAAGAGGCCAATTTTACATTCTTTGTTTTGGTTTTTGTTGCATTGACATGGTTTTGACCAGCAGGTGTCACTAGCATGTGGTGCTTCAACCGTTTTTGCCAAGCAGTTGTTCTAAAGCTTTGAAAAGCTCGGCTTCTCCCATCAGTACTGTGCTGTAGTGTGGTTTGTTTTCTGCTGATGGTCACATGACCTTCTCCTGTCGACTCACTGTCAGGTCTCTAACTCAGAGGACTGTTTTTATTGCTATAATGTAAATGTAGCGTACGCTACAGTGTTACCCATACATGTATTTATTGCTTTACTGTATTTGCTTCGTTTGTTATGTTCGAGCAGAGTCATGACTTTTAAGAAATGTTTTAGAGATTTTAGTAATTATAGATCTTAATATTAGTTATGATGTGTTTGTGTTTTTTCTCCCAAATTCACAAAATCCTAAGACTGTAAACATGACTCAGAATCAAAACATTCTGCTGTGATGTCTGGAAATAAGATTCTGCCATTTTGATCATCTCTCTAAATTAAATATATACATCACTGAATATTCATGTAAATACATAAAGTCTGCGTTTATTTATGTCCATCCATCCGTCTGTCTGTCTATCTATGCCAATCCTTCCATCCATCCATCCATCCATCCATCCATCCATCCATCCATCCATCTATCTATCTATCTATCTAAATCCTTCCTTCCATCCATCCATCCATCCATCCATCCATCCATCCATCCATCCATCCATCCATCCATCCATCCATCCATCTATCTATCTATCTATCTATCTATCTATCTATCTATCTATCTATCTATCTATCTATCTATCTATCTATCTATCTATCTATCTCCTTCCTTCGATCCATCTATCTATCTATCTATCTATCTATCTATCTATCTATCTATCTATCTATCTATCTATCTATCTATCTATCTAAATCCATCCATCCATCTATCTCCTTCCTTCCATCCATCCATCCATCCATCTATCTATCTATATCCTTCCTTCCATCCATCCATCCATCCATCCATCCATCCATCCATCCATCCATCCATCCATCCATCCATCCATCTATCTATCTATCTATCTATCTATCTATCTATCTATCTATCTATCTATCTATCTATCTATCTATCTATCTATCTATCTATCTATCTATCTATCTATCTATCTATCTCAATCCTTCCAGAGTTCATCAAGACTCTTTGGATTCATCTTCAATGCCTCCTCCCATCTTACCTCAGACATGCTCAATAATGTTCATATCTGGTGACTGGGCTAGTCAATCCTGGAGCACCTTGATCTTCTTTGCTTTCAGGAGCTTTGATGTGGAGGCTGAAGTATGAGGAGCGCTATCCTGCTGAAGAAAACACCGTCTCCTGTGGTTTGTAATGTAATGGGCAGCACAAATGTCCATATATTGATGTGTAATACTTTATTTAAATTTAAAGATCTATGCAAAGACATGTTGTTTATGTATGCGTTTATATTATATACACAAGCAAACTTTTATACTGGATGATTAATCTGTGCATTATATTTAAATAAGCATATCAGAATAGTTGGTAAATATCATATGACTAAAGTATAGTGTAGTGTTGATGCTGCACTTTTTAAAATTTTTAATCTCAGAATGAACAAACATCTTAAAATGATTTTAATTTCCACAATATTACAGTTCTATGTTCACGACTGCGTTCATTTTCATTTGGAGGCATCTCGTAAAGAAAAAACTAGTGAACGGCAGAGTAATTGACACATGAAGTCACCGTGTTATGCTTAAATAAATCAGTTTATTAAAAGCTCTTAACCAAAATGAACTACAATATTATAAAAGAATTGAAAAAGTTAACATTGTCCAGATAAAAAAAAACACCTTTATCCCATCTTTACATACAAAATAAGGCACTTTTCAACGTTCTACCAAGCAATATACAAAAACAAAACCTTTATCATACAAATAAAACAAGACAAGTACAGCTGCATGACTCCTAATACAAGAGGAAAAACATATAGATGCAGCCAACATGAGCAATCTCCAGTGTTTCTCCAGCATTTCTGTGCACCTTCCAGGAAAAACTGAGCTTATCATAATAAAGAGTCCACTTTAATTACTGATCAGTGACCAAATACATAAAAACACAAACATCACACACCCCGAACCAACAGAAAGGCTTAAGACATTAAGACCAGCCGGGTTTAGTTTCTCATGTTTAGCTGAAACATGAGTGAATCTCATAGCAGCTCAAACAGCAGCTGAACAAGCACTGAGTAACCATCAGAAACAGCTTAAACACGCGCATACACACACACACACACACACACACACACTGATCCAACAATCATTCTTCTTCTCTCAGCTCTGTTCATTCAGCTAGTCTTCAGTGTTCAGACAGTGTGGAGGGAGTGCTGGAGGCTCTTCTCTTTCTAATTGTTGTTCTGTTTTGGCTTGAAGTCGTGCAAGCTCCATATGTGATACTGATACACACACACACACACACACACACACACACACACACACACACACATGTGCGCTCATACTGTACACACAAGCATGCAACCACAAGCACAGGCTTACACACAGACACAATCACACGCAGGTACACACACACAAACACACACACACACACACACACACACACACACACACACACACACACACACACACACACACACACACACACACACACACACACACACACAAATATGTGCATGCATACACGCGCACACTCACACACACACACGCTCAAATTACACTCGCACACATGCAAATGCAGGTACACACACATGCTTACATACACGCAGGTACACATGCACGCTCTCACACTTACACACACTAGCGCACACTCACACACATGCAAGCACATGTGAGCACGCACACACAGGGATACACATACACTGTACGTGCATGCATATACACCTGTGTGCTCGCATGCCTGCTCAAATACACTTGCTCTCTTACACGCACATGTGCGCGCACACACACAGGCACATACACACTTACACACACACACTTATATACACACACACACACACACACACACGCGCACAAGCTCTCACACACACACGCACACATGCAAGCACATGCACACACACACACACGCACGCACGCACGCACGCATACACGCTTGCACACGCTCACACATGCATACAAGCACACACACGCATACATGCATGCAAACACACAGAGGTACACACACACACGCATGCTTGGACACATGCACACTCGCACATGGGCTCACACCCGCTCTCACATGAACGCACATGCACACACGCAAGCACACACACACACACACACACACACACACACACACACACACACACACACACACACTCGCTCGCTCAAACACACTTGCTCGCACATGCAAGCGCGCACATACATGCTCACAGACACACATTTACACACATGAGCTTTCACACGTACGCATACAAGCATAGGCACATGCATACTCACACATACACACACACACATACTTGCACACATACACACCAATGTACTCTCACATGCACACTCAAACACACTCCCTTGCAAACGCTTACAAATGCGCACACACATGCGCAAGCTCGTACATGTGATTTGGTGGTTTATGAGGACTCTTCATATTCTTAATGTGTGTTACACTATACACAATGCTTATTAGACCTCTGTACCCCGATCTGATGTGCTGAACGTGAAAAGAGCCCATTGATTATGATTATTAACAGCGTTGGATTACACTTTTGAACATTTATGTCCTCATAATCCACCAAACATAGTACACACACACACACTCTCTCTCTCTCTCAGTGAATGTAGATGTGTGATCAGAGGAAGCCGTGTTCATCCAGTCCTTTCACTGACACCGGGTTCCACTTTGCAGCGCTTTTACTGGACGCCTGAACTGAAACACAGAGTATTGATGATTAGAGGACACCAGTGCAGCACTTTCACTGCACACTTCTCCAACATTCTTCATAATATCTTCCTCTGTTGAACACAAAAGAAGACATTTTGAAGAATGTTGGAAACCTGTATTTATTTTTCCTACTATGAATGTCAATGGTTGCAGGCTTTCAACATTCTTTAAAATATCTTCTTTAGTGTTCCACAGCAGAAAGAAACTCAAATTGTTTATAACCACAAACAAAAGGAAATTTTGAGTAAACTGTGATTTTTGGGTGAACTATCCCTTTAAATCGAAAATATTGGATCTTCTCAGCTTGACGATACAACTATTTTTGTTATCCGCCTGATAACGATTTTAAAAATAGCATTTACGTTGTGCATTTCCAACATTTTTCAACATATCTCCGTTAAACACTAAAGAAGACATTTTGAAGAAGGTTGGAAACCTGTATTTCTTTCTCCTACTATGAATGTCAATGGTTACAGGTTTCCAACATTCTTCAAAATATCTTTTTTTAGTGTTCAACAGCAGAAATAAACTCATAAAAGGTTTATAACCACTAAAGGAAGAGTAAACAGTGTGTAAATTGTCATTTTTGGGTCAACTATTCCTTTAAATCCAGAAAATGTTTGAATTTATTGGCTTAAAGATATTAATATTTTTAATATCAGCCTGATAACGATTTTAAAAATAGCATTTATATTGTACGTTACCAACATTCTTCAAAATATCTTCTTCTGTTGAACACTAAAGAAGATATTTTAAAGAATGCTGGAAACATGGAATCATCGACATCCATGGTTTTGTTTTTTCCTACTATGGAAGTCAATGCGTACAGATTTCTCAACATTCTTCAAAACATCTTCTTTAGTGTTCAACAACAGAAAGTAAAAAGTGAGTACACTTTCGTTTTTGGGTGAACTATGCCTTCAAATCGAAAATATTTAAATTTATCGGCCTAAAGATTTCAACATTCTTCAAATCATCTTTTGTTTTGAGTTGAGTTTATTTTTGTTGTTGAACATTAAAGAAGATATTTTGAAGAATGATGTAAACCTGTAACCATTGAATTCCACTGTATTTGTTTTTCCTACCATGGACGTCAATGGTTACAGGTTTCCAACATTCTTCAAAATATCTTCTTTAGTGTTCAACAACAAAAAGAAAGTCATTAAAGGTTTATAACCACTCGAAGAGGAGTAAACAGTGAGTAAATTGTTAATTTTTGTCTGAACTATCCCTTTAAATCGAAAATATTCGAACTTGTCGGCTTGACGACACACCCATTTTTGATCTTAGCCTGATAACGATTTTAAAAATAGCATTTATATTGTGCATTTCCAACATTCTTCAAAATATCTTCCTCTGTTGAACACTAAAGAAGACATTTTGAAGAACGGTCAAACCCTGTAATCATTGACTTCCATAGTATTTGATTTTCCTACTATGGAAGTTATTATACTATGAAAGTCCTACAATGAAAGTCAATTCCTTCAGGTTTCCAACATTCTTCAAAATATCTATCAGCACGATATCGATCAGTATGTGTGTGTGCTGTACCTGTAGCTCTGCTGTGTGTTTCTGCAGGAGCGGGAGACACTTGTTCCCCATAGTCGCTCTCTCCAGATGAGGTTTGCTCTCTAGAGTCAGCAGTCATGTACAGCGGTGCTCTCCTCTTGTGATATTTAGCGCGGTACGTGTCCGTCATGCAGGCATCAACCGAGAAATACGTCGTTGGAATCACCGGAGATCCAGAAGCCGCTCTGGAGATCCGCTCTTCAGCATCCTGATCAGAAGAACCAGATCTGGAGCTGCTGTCCGACGGGATCATCCGGGAATCAGACGAGTTTTCCAGCCACATAGAGGGTTTTCCAGTGAAGGAGCCGGGGTCTGCTTGTGGTTTGGGAGGAAGCGGAGGGGAATCAGAGGAGTTTTCCTTCCACTTGAGAGTGGTTGAGCCGAAGTCTGCGTGTGGTTTAGGATGAAGCGGAGGCTCTGGGTTTGGACAGGGAAGCGATGGCAAACCCGCATGTTTTCGGGAATCCTCCAGATTATCTGAAGTGATCCAGTTTGAGTTGCTGGTTTTGATGAAGGGTGGAGAGACGGAGCTGCCGTTCAACATTTCTTTACATCTCGACACCTGACCTCTGCAGAAGGGAAAGCATAGGAAGTTCATCACAATCAGAATTATTCACAATTTTCATTCATTCATTCATATGTTTATTCACTCATTTTTTCATTCATTCATTCATTTGTTTATTCATTTATTCCTTTATTAGTTCATTCATTCAATTGTTCAGTCATTAATTAATTAATTAATTAATCCATTCATTCATTCATTCATTCAATTGTTCAGTCATTTTATTTATTCGTTCATGCATTCGTTCGTTTGTTCGTTCATTAATTTATTTATTCATTCATTCGTTCGTTCGTTCATTCATTCATTCATTCATTCATTCATTCATTCATTTGTTCATGCGTTTATTCATTTGTTCATTCGATAATTTGTTCATTCATTCATTCAATTGTTCAGTAATTCGTTCATTTATTCATTTAATTGTTTAGTCATTCGTTCATTTATTCATTTAATTGTTCAGTCATTCATTTAATTGTTCATGTATTCTTTAATTCGTTCGTTCATTCATTATTTCGTTTTTATTCATCAGTTTATTCATCCATTCATTTGTTCATTCATGCATTCGTTAATTCATTTTTCAATTATTCATTCGCTCATTCATTCATTCATTCATTCATCCGAGTCATTTGTTCGTTCGTTCGTTCATTTATTAATTTCTTTCATTTGTTCATTCATTCATTTCTTTATTCATTCATTTGTTCGTTCGTTTATTAATTTGTTAATTCATTAATTTGTTCATTCATTTATTCAATTGTTCAGTCATTCATTCAATTGTTTATACATTTATTCTTTCATTCGTTTATTTATCCGTTTATTCATCCATTAATTTGTTCATTCATTTATTCATTCGTTCATTCAGTCATTTAATTGTTCACTCATGCATTCGTTCATTCATTCATTCATTCATTCATGTTTTAATAAGTCAGAATAATAATAATATAAAAGTCATTTATAATATACTGAAATATAAAAATAAATTCAAGAGTTACCACTAAAAAAATCATACATTTACAAACAGCACTGATCAAATGTGATTCGTTAAACAACAACATTATTTTCATTCATTTGTTCGCTTGTTCATTTATTCCAGTTCTAATAAGTCAGAATTATTAACCTCCCTGTATATGTTTTACTCTAATTTGTTTAATGGAAAGAAGTGTTTTTCCTCAAGTTTCTAATCATAATAGTTTTAATAACTCATTTCTAATAAGTGATTTATTTTATCTTTGCCATGATGACAGTAAATAATATTTGAATGGATATTTTTCAAGATACTTCCAAACAGCTTAAAGGGACATTTAAAGACTTAACTAGGGTAATCAGGTTAAGTTAGGGTAATTAGGCAATCATTGTATAACAGTGGTGTATTCTGTAGACAATCAGAAAACATTTATTGCTTAAGGGGTTTATTAGCTTTGTTGACCTTAAAATAGTTTTAAAAAATAAAAAATGCTTTTACTTTAGCCGAAATAAAACAAATAAGACTTTCTCCAGAAGAAAAATGATAAGACATACTGTGAAAATTTCCTTGTTCTGTATTTTTGAGAAATATGTGAAAAAAAACAAACAAATTCTGACTTGAACTGTACTTACATGCATATCTAACACAAGAGGACAGAAATACATTTAATTAAGTGGGAAAAGCCTGAAATTATGCATACCCCTGGGAATTCTGGCTTAGTTATTATTATTCAAGCAGCAATTTTTTTTTTTTTTTTTTTTAAACTGGAAATCAATCTATAAGGGGCATCTTTATATAATATTTTCACATGTCTTACCTTTGAATAACAGGACTCACTGGATAATCATATGCTTTCCTCTGATGGTCACCTGTGAGAGAAATGATATGAAATATAGAGTTTTGTATTTATGCAAAATTAACCAGAACAAATATAAGAAATCCCTTTAAATGCTGACTATTGTAAATAAAATAAATAAAATATAACTAAAATAAAAAATACATAAAATTCAATTTAAAATAAATACATAAAATAAATTAATAATTTGAATTTAAAATGATAATAATAATAAAATAAAAGCTGAATAATGCATTTTTTTTTGGTGGTATTAGACACAAAGATGCATTCTGTGTGAACGGCTCCTTATGCTCTTGAACACACGTGATGAAAAAGCACTTTATTGGCTGATGTTTTAATGCGTAGTGTTGTTGTGTAAGTGGTACGTGTGTGTGTGTGGGTTCAGTGAGGATGTTTCTCAGCGGGGGCTTCGGGCCGTCCGGTTCAGACCAGCTCCACTGACTGAACAATGAGCTGAAGCCGCTTGTAAAAGTGGGTTTCTGTAGGGACGCTCCTGTAAATCTGAGCGGCTGACAGATGCATTGTGGGACATACAGTAAGAGCACGCAGGAACATTCAAAGGCAGCGGTGCACGCAATAAAAGATTGTCAGGAAAGAAAAAAAACTAAAACACCACTCTGAATCAACAAGGGGTCTTGAAAAGAATTATAAAGGTATAAATTTACTGATTAAATGGTTTTATTATGCTCATTATAGAATGTGCGAAGGAGTAATGCTCACAAAATTTAAGTTCATAAAGTCTGATTCCTACATTTTATTTTAATTAATTTATTTATTTAAATAATATGGTAATATACTCTTAAAAATTTTACTGTCATTTATGACTGAACATGGTTAGCGATGTATGCAAGTCCATGCATATTTACATGTACATAATAAATATACACACTTAAATTATTTCAAAACAAACTTGTATTTTGGATGCGAGTAATCGAGATTCATTTTCTGCTCACCACTTATATTAATATATTACACAACAATGCATTAAGCTAAAGTAATGAGACTGAAAATGGGGGACGAAACCTGCAAAAACAATAAATAAACAAACCCGTAAATAAATAAACAAATCCACAAACTCATGTATAAATAAATGTATAAATAATAAATAGTGGGGGCAGATAAATAATTAAAAAAATTACACACACAGAAGGATTTTGTATTTTCCCTCACTATCTATTTATTTATTTGCGTATTTATTTATTAGCATGTTTATGTATTCATTTGCTAATTAATTATTCATTTATTTGCACTTATTTATTGGTTTATTTGCATATACATGTATTTATTTGCATATTTATTCATTTGCATGTTTGTTTATTCATGCATTTACTAGCATATTTATTTATTTACTTATTTCCATATGTTTTCATTTGCTTAATTATTTATTACCCCTTTTCACATATTTATTCGCACATTTATTAGTGTTTTTTTGCATATTCATGTATTTATTTGCGCATTTGTTTATTTGTTTGCGTATTTATTTGTTCACACATTTATTTGCATTTTAATTTATTTGCATATTAATTAATTTATTTGCATATTTTTGTTTTTTGCATATCTATTATGTATTTATTTGGGTATTTATTATTTATTTGCGTATTTATTTATTTGTTCTTTTATTTGCGTATTTATTTATGTGCATATTTATTTATTAGCATATTTATTCATTGTTTATTGTTTTGCAGGTTTCATTCTCCTTAACTTAAAAAAAATGTTTTTGAATAAAAAAAAAAAAAAGAAGAAGTGTCAAATAAGATTTGCAAACAATGTCATTGTGTCTTTCTACACTAGAGGGCACTACAGACAAATATTTACATTATTGTGGATTTTGCATGTTTGGCTGTAAAAACTCAGTGAGTCAAACTCAATCAAAACATTGATTGCAACTTTAACAGCACATTAACATCAATCTCACTGCACAGAAACAGCAACACGCACACACACACTAAGTAGTGCATGCACTCAAATAAAGCACACATTAACAATAATACACACAGTACAACAGAGAAGCAAACTAGAAGAGGAACTGTTTAATTAGCAATGCACAGTCTGACATCATGGGATTGTGCATTAGTGTGAGTCTGAACAAAGTCAGAGCTGATGCAACAACAACCTGAGATGCAGACAGAAGTGTGTGTGTGTGTGTGTGTGTGTGTGTGTGTGTGTGTGTGTTTCTGTGCATGCACATGCGTTTTTGTGAGAGCAAGTGTATGAGTCTCTGTCAGTGTTTGTGTATGTGCAAGCATGTGTTTTTGTGAGTGTGTGTGCATGATTGTTTGTGTGAGTGTGTATGCATAATTGTGTTTGCAAGTGTGTGTGTAAACAGAAGTATGTATGTAATTGTGTGCTTGTGTATGTGAGTATAAGTGTCCATACGTGTATATGTTACTGTGTGTATGCATGCACAGTATGTATGGGAGTGGTGTGTGCGTGCATGTGTGTGTGTGTGTGTGTATTCTTCTCCCAAGTGCTTTAACAGCTAAACCCCTGTGGCCAGCATGCAATAATGTGAGGACTGGACTTTGGAGGCCATTTTCTGTTTTTTCCGGCCTGTCATGTTTAGGCTGCTAGACCTCATGAGGAAAACCTCCATTTGTAGGCCGACACTCGCAATGTTGGAGCAGATCAGAGATAAACTAAAGACAAAAAACACTGCCCAAGTCAACGGAGATGCCTAATATGACGACTTTAATCCTCTGTTAGCCTAATATGACGACTTTAATCCTCTGTTATGAAGCTGCATGCTTTGAGACGCAGTGTTATTCATATCCATAAACACTTTGGGATGATAATGCAGTAAGTACACACACAAGATTCTACAGGTGAGTGAATCAGGCTGAACATCATCCATAACTAGTGCATTACAGATAAACTAATTCAAAGGAAGAGGAACACGACTCCACGGCCAATCACCTGCCAAGTAATGCTTGCATATATAAATATGCACAGATAAGCATCACATCAGACCAGACGGAACTGGATCTGAGCTGCTGAAAATATTTCCTCATGTCTAAGAATAAATATTTTCCATCATGCAACAGGATCTCTTTTAAACGCAGCGGCAGAGAGAAATAGTTATATAGTTATAGTATATAGCTGAAGTTTAATACTTTTACATTTGCAACTATCAAAATAAACCGAATGCACCCCTCCTATCAGCCTTGGTCAAGAGTTTGTTTTTTAAGGGTCATTAGGTTTAGAATCAACAACACATGCAGTATTTGCACATTGATATGCCAAAAATATGTATACTTTTTTTTTTTTTTTTGCACTGAAGGCATATTAAGTGAAAATAAAATGTTGATTTGATGCTTTCATGAAACTAAAATATTTAAAATAAAGGGTGAAATGCTTACACATATGAATATAAAAAATGCCAAAAAATGCTTTTTAGTTATTTAAAAAAAATAAAATAAATAAATAAATTAATAAATTATTTGTTTTGTTTGTTTTTTGCTCTGTGTAAATGCATAGGGACCAACTGCAGTGACAGGGCTTTTCTGTTTAACACTCCTGCTGTTCTGACCTTTACAAGTGTTTTACAGCTAAGAAAACTGAACTACACAATGATTCTCAATGCACACACACACAGACACGAGAGTACACACATGCACGCACGCACGCACGCACGAACGTTCAACTTTACTAATTACTCAAAGCCTGTTGATTAACACACAATCTAACATTTCCCTGCATTATGAACTAAACAAAACAACTAAACTAAACAAAGCATAAAAAACAACAAAAAGAAACACAAAAACAAAACAAAAAAACAACAACAACAAGAAACAACAAGGAAACACAGGACAAAAACAAAATTTAACTAAAAACAAACAAAAAAACAAACAAACAAAAAACAAAAAAACAAAAACAAAACAAAAAAAACTAAATCAAAACAAAAAGCAAAACACAAACAACAAAATCAAAAAACAAACAAAAACAACAACTAAACAAAAAACACAAACAAAACAAAAAATAAAATAAAAAACAAAACAAAAAACAAACAAAAACAAACAAAACAAAAACGAACACAAACAAAACAAAACAAAATAAAATACAAAAACTAAACAACAAAAAACCAAAAACAAAAAAAAAAAGAAACAACACAAACAAAACAAAAACACAAGACAAAAAAACACACAAAAACAAAATAAAACAAAAAACAACACACAAAAACAAAACAAAAAAGATAAACACAAAAAAACACAACAAAACCAGAAACAAAAAAACTAAATGAAACTAAAACGAAACAAAAATCTTTGCATAAAACATCTATTACACAATTTCAATCAGCATCAATTATAAAAGTACTTCAATATGAATCAATCATTAGCTAGTATTGTGTAATATTACACACTGTTATTTTTGTTTCGAACTAATACATTATTTGTTATTTTAAAAGTACATTCAATTACTTTTATATTGTTTTGAAAAAATTATTTCAATCAGTCATATTTTTCTCTGTTTTTGACTATGTATTGGAAAACAGTTTGAAAGGACACGCACACATACACAATAAATGTGAACAAAATCCATCATTTAAAATAAAAATAAACAAAGCAAATGGCATACATGTTTAAAAGTATCATTATGTGTGCATATTAAATGAATAAAATAAAAACAATCTTAAACATCAAGCATAATTTTGTCCATTTTCTGTAAGCCTGAAAAGATCGATAGACAGAACATTGAAGATTCTGCATCAGTCACTCATTCACTGTCAGCGCAGCGGTAGTGCACACTTGAACACTTAAGCGTCAGTTAAAAAAAGAGCCTGGAAGAAGAGAGTGAGGACGCGGCGCTGAGAGCTGTCCTTTCTGCTTCACTTCTTCATAAAACACTGCAAGCAGTGCTAAACAGACCCACCAAAACACACACACACAAACAGCTCTGAGCGCCGACAGGCAGGACAAATGATTCGTCCGCAAACACGACCCAGAGTGTCCCGTCCCTGATAACAGGATCAGCACTGCTGTACTCAATACACACTGTAAATAATGCTGGGTTCCATGTGATCTATTTGTGTCGAGACAACTTGAAGGAATTAAGTTGACTGGTGACATTTTAAAATAACAATGCATTACTTATTGGTACTTATTAACATGAACAAACAATTGGGAATACATTTAGTACTGTATTTCATCTTTGTTAATGGCAGCTGTTTAAGGTAATGTTAACTCAGTGCATTCACTAATGCTAACAAGCACAACTTTGGATTTTAATAATGCATTAGGTAATGCTGAACTATGATTAATAAATACTTTTCAAGATTATTCATATTCAAGTGTTAGTAAATAAATTAACCAATGGACCATCATTCTAAAGTGTGACTAAACAGTGTTTACAAATGTAAGTAGACTGAAGAAAACATTTAAGGTCCCCCACCCCAAAAAACCTCAAGAATTGTGTTGATTCAGCTCATTTTAAATAAGTAGTTTAAACAAAGCAGCAAACGTCATTCTTTGAGTGTAAATATACATTTGCTTCATGTAAGATTTACATTTAGAGTTAGTTTTCAAGGTTACATTTGTAATTTTGTTTAATTTTTCCATTTAATTTTAATTTAGTTATACATTTAGTGCTGGG